ACCGTCCCAGCCGGGAGCACTGTCAATTTTCAAGTTTGAGATAACGAGGTCGACTTCCATGGGGTCAGTCTCTAGAAGTACAAAAGAAGATAGTTGTGTTTTTGGGGTAGCTATTAAGTTACTATCTGGCTGTGGGCACCTACTTTGGATGTCAGCAGCAAGTCGCTTATCGACGTTCGCATAGAAATCATTTGCATAGTTTACTGTCTCTATGGGAGAACCTCGAGAATTAAGTAATTCACAGCTTCTAGTTTTAGATAAGTTAAGATGCGCTATTTATTTGATTGATTGCCATAAGGCTTTAGGGTTTTTAATATTAGATTTAGTTGTTCAGATTCATATTTGCGTTTTAGTTTTTTAATTAATTTATTACAGTAATTACGGTACCTACTGAATGATATTTTGAGTATTGCATTATACGGGTCAGATCTTAACTTAATTTGCATTCTGTTTCTGTTCCTTATACAGCGTAGTAAACCGTTGGTGATCCAAAGTTTAATAATCCGTTGTTTACTCGAGATCCTCTTAACTCTAATACTCTCATCAAGGGATGATTTGAGTTTATTAATAAGATGTTCAATTACAAAGTTAGGGTCTTCACTAAATAACAGATTGGATAGGTTTTTGTTTATAAGTCTCTCAGAAGCTTCTTCAAACTCAATAAAGGTCTTGATAGTTGGAGAATGGTAGCTATTTTTTACTTTACCGATGCTCATAAAGACTGAAGCTTGATTAGTTGTTGAAGTGTTTAAGACTGCTATACTAGCTGACAGTTTAGTGTTATCAATTTTTAAGATAAAGTGGTCAAGGCAACCGATTTCTCGTGTAGGAAGTATGTGTCCAGGTAAGAGACCATGTGATGAGAGCATGTCAAGGTAATAGGCCTGATTATTACACTCGTAAGATGTATCGATATCTTTCCTAATTAAGTTTATATTTATATCGCCAGATATTATAATATTTCTATTACATTTTAACGTTTCCAGTAAATTATTCAATGAGGCAATAAAATTACATGCGTTCTTTTGTGACGGTGATCTGTAAATACCAAGTATAGCACACCCACAAACATTCAGCGGTATACACGAGGCATTATCAAGGTGATGTTCTTTAAAAATTGGGAGTTAACTTAGATTTGGCGTAGACGACCACTCCATCATTTTGGTTACAATTAAAGGTAGTAGAATAATAAGTGTAGTTATTCAAAGAGGGGACGGGTTTATTTATGTTGAGATGACATGCCGTAAGTATTATAACGTCAGTATCTGAGCTAAGATCCGATAGTATCACCTTAAAGTTATTGAAGTTACAGTAGATGCTTCTGATATTTTGTTGAATTAGTGTAAGATCATTTTTCTTAAGGTCAATATGTTTGTTTAGGTCCCCTATTATCGATATTGTCAATTTCGGTTAAGTTTCCGAGGTTATCTATCATTAATATGAAAACATTTGGACTGAATTTCTTTTCTAAGGGAAGTGGTCACACGCCGTAAAAATAAGAACGACCGCTCACAACAAAGGGTACAATTTGTTTTATGTAGGCTAATTTGTAGATATCTTGAGTGTCGATTGTGATTGTGTGTGAGTGTAAACGGGTGGGAATATGTTGTGATATTTTTGTGTGATTGAATTGGAGTGTGTGCATGTAGTTTTGAACGTATTGGAGAGCGTAGTGAGTGAGTATATTTGGGCATTGTTTACAATGTTACGTGTTATAACATGAATCAGTGTTCCCAATATTAAAATACAAATATCAGAGAATCAAAGAATAGGGGCACAAATTTTAAATGCTAAATACATATCTAGTCATGCACTGTCGAAGAGCTGTTTGATTTGACTTTCATTAGTGATTGTCACTATCGGAGAGCTCTCGTTCTTTCTAACATATACATACCGTAGGCAGTTCAGCAGAAGGTAAAAGATGTCGATTTAATTAAATCCCGCGCAAGAAAATACAGGCGTGAAGCTCTGGGTGTCAGTTGCTCGGACACGAACACAGGGGTTTCTTCATTCTTCACAAATCCCAGGTGTTTTGCTCGAAGTTTTGCTTTGTTACTTCTATTGAAGGCCTTACTTTTAGTAATTATGTCAGTATTTAGCAGGGTAGAATTCATTTCTACAACAATAGCAACATTAGCAACACTCGTTTCCCTCGAACTCTATATATGTCCTTGATATCCGATTTTGTAACGCTAGCGCCCACAGTGGTGGATAAGCAGGTGACCAGTTTAGTCAGATCATCTTTTGTCTCTTTTTCTATTTTAGGCACATTTTTAATCTCGAAGATTGCTTTTCTAAACCCTTTTTGTAAGGTCTCAATTTTATCTTCGATGGGTAGTGATGTATTTGGTGTCTTCTTTGTTTTGTTGTTTCAAGTTCTCAATTTTTTTTTTAATTCTGCGTTCTCTTTGTGCAAATGTTCTATAGATGTTTCAATTTTGGTATTAGTTTCTTCAATTTGCTTCAACCTCGGATTTATTTTATTAAATTCTTGCTGTTGTGCAACAAGCAAGGAGGCAAACATATCCCGCATTTCTTCCTTAAAAGCACAAATTATTCGCTGGCAGAATGTCTAGACTCAATGGCTAACGTCTCTCAACTGACCCTTGCTATTCCGAACGGAAATAAACGTATGTGTGTGATGCATTCACGGAATTCCGAATCGGAATATCGAAATGGAATTCCGTATACATGTAGCCGACCTTACTCTAATGGCGGCTATTCTCGTTGGCCAACATAGTGGCGAATGTGTTGGCAAAGATATTGACCAAGAATTTGTGATCGCGTCCACACGTTGGAGGTCGTTCAGTTTGCTTCGGTTCAGGCCAATGTGCAGACGAATTTATTAAAATGATTATTGAAGCGCTAGCAGCTGCTGCGGTTTATTTATTCACAGCATACCACCATTTTATATTTAATTTTCACTATTTTTAATATTTACTTAATATTTTTAATATAAATATTTAATATTTCTTTAAGAGTCAAGAGTACTCGGATACCTAGACGTGCATGCATGAAGAAGATAATGAATCTGAAAGAAGCGAAAGAGGTTTGTAAGGATCGTGACACTTGGCGATCTGTTCTCTCTGGCTACCCCGTCAGGGATTGTGCGTGAAGATAAGTAATATTTCTTTATTATACACTAACGTTAAATACATAAGTAAACTATATAAACATTGACACACCTAGGCATAGGTATAATTAACACTTTTACAACTAAGGCCTGGAAAATATTCGAAGTCTGTCTATGAAACTGTTGTAAAATTTTTATTAAACAAAATCTTTTTAAAAGGTTTATTATATAATTACGGAATAAATTTATTCATTTACACTTTCATGCACAAAGTAGAACATATGGCCAACTTAATAATAATAATAATAATAAATAATTTATTTCGTCAAACATTAAAGTTACATTATATGATCAGTGATTGAGGTCACCTAGTAAGCAAAATAATGCCTGTAACAGGTGACTTCGCTCTTCCATAGCTAAAAATTACAGTATTATTAACGAAATAAAGTAACTAAAAGGGATAAATAAAGACAGTAAAAACATGATTTTAGTATCCTACCTTTTAATTTAATTTTAGTATACTACCTAGTCTCATAGCATTAATACATCAATTAATTAATTAATACATCGATAAATAAATTAATACATCAATCACTACAACGTGAATGTGTATAAGAAAAGGGTGATTAAAAAGAAATGGAAAAAAAGAAATTTTATTTCTTGACGGCTCCGTGGCGTAGTGGCTTAGCAATGAGTTGCTGCGCTGGGGGCCGCGGGTTCGAATCCCGCACGGAACAAGTATTTGTATGGCTTGCAAATAATTGCTCCGGGTCTGGATGTTTGTCCTTATGCAATTTATTTTATTATTTGTATTTATTTATTCTTTATTGCATTCCTTAATCTAAAAGAATACAAAGGGCGGACTGGCGGAGTGGTGAGAATTTGAAGTAGGTGTAGCAATATAGAATAAAAAGAAATGATAATTAATTACTATTAATAATAATTTTTATACGTGGTAGAGCCATGCTGCAGCTATATTAGTAGTATAGTTCTAGCACGAATGGGTCAGCTCGACCGGGGAAGGACCACGCTCTCACAGAATACCAGCGTAAAATAGCAGCTTAACGCTGCTGTGTTTCGTATGGTGAGTGTAGAGAACCGGAGGCCCTTTTTACTGGAAAAGAGGCATTCCATCTTAGTCCTCACGAGTGACAACGCATCTGCATTTTGATTCGCAAGCGAGAACAGATGTAGATGTCTATAGGCTATAGCAACCACTTACCATCAGGTGGACTGTGTGCTCGTTTGTCACCCTATCCTATATAAAAAAAATAGTACTATTAATAATGATTTATGTTTGTAAACTGCCTCTACGATACAGGAGAAACTCCTAGTGTGGGGGTAACGTTTTTTTTTAAAAAAGACTTGTGTTTCATAAACAATTTTTGGTTTGGTAGGGCTCTATAAAGCGAAAAGTTTTTTCATTGGTCATTATTTCTGCCATTATGAGACACTAGTTACGATGCGTGCATATAAAATTAAAATCAGATGCGTGCTCTGACTCTGGGATCTCGTAGCAAACTGAACGTGCGCCCAACGTGTGGACACTGCGGCCAATACTCTGCCACAACCCTTTGATCTTTTGTAAAAACCGACACCAGACGGATCTCGCGCCAACTCGTGGGCCATCGTTCCAATACGTACCAACGTAGCTTAAACACCCGCTCTACACGATGGCCATCGTTGTTGGCCAACACATTCGCCAGTATGTTGACCAACGTGAAGAGCCGCCTTTAGGATTTTGACTGTTTTTTCCTATATATAAAAAAGTACTCTGTGCTGTCGCCACAGAGTACCTTTGTATAAACCGAAACTGTTTGCTTTTGACAGGTGGCAGCTGGTAGGTGATTTTAGTTTGACACAGTTTGACATTTTTGTCAAATAGTGTTGTGTAACATCTTTTTTGCAAAATTACATTTTAAACACCATGTCGTTACTTTCTTATAAGTACTATGATACTCCAGAAGGCCAAGACATCTATAAGAAAGTCTTTGTAACCTCCAAATATGCAGTACTGACAGGCCTCGCTAGTGCTACCCTGGATGTACTTATGTTCTCACACCCTAAAGGTTTCGTGAATACTACGGGCCGATATATGTTTTATATCGGTCCCCTGGTTGGTATGGCATCAGCATTTACCCTAACTACAAATGTCGCCCAAAACATACGAAACAAAAACGATGGTATAAACTATTTCTTGGGAGGAATAGCTGCCGGATCAATTTTCGGTGCTTGGTTGAGATCAGTCACTGTGGGCGTACCAGCGGCTGTCGTTCTTGGCGCTGTCGGCTTCGTCAAGAAGTCTGGAGTAGACAATGGCTGGACATTTATGCCTGAGATGCCACCAAGCGCTACAAAAACTATTAAATCTGTGAAACGTGACTGGACAATGGTAAAAGATATTGAAGAAAATAAAACGTGGACAACAGGTATGACTTTTACAGTATTATAAAGAGCTATGGTAGTTCTAGAAAGGTGCGACTCAGAGGGTGCTATATATATATATATATATATATATATATATATATAATATGGTATGTAACACCCTCTGAGTGGTAATAGGGTGCTATATATATCATAATGCCATAAACAGGAGATTGAGCCCAATTGCTGGCACATTTATAATATATAATGAATATTGCAGTGTAAGAATATTTACTGCCCCATTTTGTCCCCTAGGTGTAGTAAGAGGTCAAAGAAGGAAATAAACTTGGAGAAGGGCAGTAGCATCTTCCTAATAATAACTGCAAATAGAAATACTGCACTTGCCAACCTTCCTGATAATTGTGGCACTTATTGCTAATAACCCTATAAGGTAACCTGTGGGCGAGCTCTATGTTCAACAGAAGACTTTGATAGGCTGTAACGATGATGATGATGATAGAATGAATATGTTTGTATAAACTATGTGTTGGATGTGTCTCATGTGTGTGGACATTATAGGAACAGCTTTTAAATATTTAAATATTCTAAATTAATTTTTAAATGATCCTACTCAACTACTTACCATTTCTGACGAACTTCTTTGAATATTATCTTTTTATAGTTTTCTCATACTAATTAGCATATTTACTCACCTCTGACATATAAATATTTTTATTTATTAGTAATTGACAATAAGTGTCGTATCTCCTATCCAAAAAATTGTATAAACATATTTTTTACGGCAGGGGGATGATTAGGGAGAACTAAAAGCTAAAGCAAGTTTTTAGGATGTTTGTCTGTTTATCTGTTTATCATGTTAGCATATTATATATGGATGGGCCAAATATTCACATGCGCAGCGGAGAATTTATCAGAGGTGCTCTCTAGGGGGGAGCACTGCTTACGGGCTGCTGGGACACAAGCACACAAAATTAAAACATGATGCTAACTTCTGACCAGAAAAATCCAGATGGGCAATCTTTTAAGAGATTTTATAATGAAAGAACTAGTGGAGTATTTTGTTTTTGTTTCCCTATCTACACAATTGTAGTAAATCATAAGAACTAATGTCATTCGTGAATGTGTATTATATAATTTAAATTACACTTTTACAGTTGTTGCATTGTTTCTCTTTCTATAAGTCTTGGGGGCAAATTCAAATATCATGCCCCTGGCAATCTTGCCGCTCATGACCCTAGCTGTGATGCTGCCTGTTACATTATATACTTTTGTATACTTACTACTTGGTAGAGCCATGCTGCAGGTATATTATGGTTGTAGCACGAATGAGTCACCTCGACCGGGGAAGGACCACACTCTCACAGAATACCAGCGTAAAATAGCTGCTTAACGCTGGTGTGTTTTGTATGGTGAGTGTAGAGAACCAGAGACCCTTTCTACTGGAAACGAGGCATTCAACTTAGTCCTCATGGGTGACAACACATCTGCATTTTGATTCATAATCGAAGATAGATGTAGATGTCTATGGGCCACAGCAAACCATCATGTGGACTGTGTGCTTGTTTGTCACCCTTAATCCTATAAAAAAAATTATAATTTGTGTCATTGGAGTTGATTTCAATGGATTATTGTGCATTTCAACAAACATAAATGCATTTTGAAATAAAGTAATTTTAATGAAATACAGTGATTGTAATATGATGACAATGGACAGCATAATTTTCACTTTACACTACCACAACAATCTGATTTGTAATAAATAAAGCTCCTTCACTAAGTGGCCAGTTTAAATTATTTAACTACCTACAGGGTACATTAGTAACACTAGAAGCTATATATATTATATACATGGTAGAGCCATGTTGCAGCTATATTAGAAGTATAGTTGTAGCATGAATGAGTCGGCTCAAATGGGGAAGGACCATGCTCTCACAGAATACCAGCATAAAATAGCAGCTTAACACTTCTGTGTTTCGTATGTTGAGTGCAGAGAACCGGAAACCCTTTTTACTGGAAAAGAGGCATTCCATCTTGGTCCTCACGGGTGACAACGCATCTGGATTTTGATTTTTTCAAGGATAAATGTAGATATCTATGAGTCACAACAACCACTTACCATCAGGTGGACTGTGTGCTCGTTTGTCACCTTTATCCTATAAAAAAGCTACTGTTTATATGTACTGATAATATAAACCGGCTATGAAGCTAAAAAAAATTCTATACTTTAAATTCTGATCTTTTTTTTTCTTAAATGATGAATACAATATGCATTTTATAAATATTTTAAAGCTGTGTCTTCAATATTTTTAAATAGTTAGATTAATGAAATAAATAAATACAAACATGTAATTAATGTTCAAATCATGATTATTTAATAATTTATATACTTATTTATTATTACTTGATTATATCATTAATATATAATAGCTAATATGAGAATTATATTATGTACTACACTACATTCTGGCAATAAATAAAATTGAATTGAATGGAATGGACTTCATTTATTTATACGAGCTTTTCAATGTGTAAAGTTCATTTTGTGTGTAGATCGGGCCAAAAGTTAAAAAGCTTAAGGTCCCGATGTCCAAGTTAAACTCCGGGTTAACTTTGACATCGGGACTTCAATCACTGGGTGCTGTAAAACACCCGAAACATCGGGAATAAAAAATAAGTAAATTAAATGCGATAAAATCCATAAGTTTTATTCAATGAACTAAATTGAATAGTTTCAGGAATAAAATGTGTCAATGCGCATTCTCTCTCACAGGCGTCTGATTATACAGCATTCTTTAGACGTGTGTAGTTCATGAACAAAGTACTATAAAGAATTAATTCTTGACACTGTACTGGAGTGAATTATTCCGTAAACGTATAGAACTTCATTCATTTGGTACTAGTACATAGGTACTTAATTCGCTCGGATTGAAGAATGACAGTAACAAAATACTCGGCTCGCCCACTTATGCAACGCCTAAGGAACAAAATGAACTATATTCATGCATTTCGCTCATACTTCCTAATCACAGTGACTGATGCAATGCATGGGAGTTGGGAACAAGAGGACTTCAACTGTTTAGTTCATGTCACATTGCTTTGTTAGGGAATTTATAACTTAATGAAAATTTAAATATTCCTTTTTTTTCTTTTGTGAGGTAGTGTTCTGGGGATAATTAGCAATGTATCGATATTTTATTTGCTTATTACCTATAAACAATCCAAAATGTTAGTGTTTCCTGTTTTTGTTCGATACGTTAGGTATAGGATGTTATTTTTTGTTTGCTTGCCTATGCATGAATGTACTCATTTTAATGAAAATCAAGTATTCCACGCAAAAAGTACGTGTAGTGAAGTACAGTGTACTAATAGTACTAAAAGTCCTAATTAATACATTTGAGCGACTGAACTAGATTGAAGCGCTCCGTACAATGTCCGAGTGGTGCAAACATCTGTACTTTAGCAATGAATAAATTAAATATACTTATCCAGTTCATTTATGTTTCAGGTGCCCAGTAAAGATAACGAAGAGTTCAAATTAAAGTAGCATGTACATATGATTGATTTATAATAAGTGATGTTAAAATAAATAATATGAAAAAGGCTTATCTATTGTTTAATTTCTACAAATAACCAAAAAATTGGCATATCTTGTAAGCTATTCCTATCCTTTATCCTGTTAAGCTGCCCGTGTGCTGGTGGTGGCATAAGATAATTACATTTACTTTACATTACTACCATTTTATTCTATGGGTTTTGTAAAAGGCGACTATTGAATTGAATTAAATTGAATAAACGGGCTGTTTTCTGCAACTCCACGTCTAAGCGCGTATTTTGCGTGTGGGCCGGAATAATGTATTTATTCGTGCCATGAAATCTACCCGAAGAAGTTCAACAGCCCTCTGATGTTGCAAGCAACTTCAGGGAGTAATCCCGGCGTGCCGAGATGTTTAGTCCTGTAGGCAGCGACTTACGGACACGTCAGCAACACGTGGGCCGCAGTTTCTTCCTCCCCCATACCATGCCCTGCACAAGGGACTATCTGTAAGACATATGGTAAATAAATGTTTGTTAAATGTGCCGTGTCCTAGCACTTGTTACTATCCTAATCTGCAGCTTGTTTAGTCTCATTAGTACCTTGGTTAAACGACTGTTTTTTTATTTTTTTAAACGTTACCCCCACTAGGATTTTCTCCTGTCGTGGAGGCAGTTTACAAACACAAATTGCACAAGGACAAACATCCAAACCCGGAACAATTATTTGTAGGCCATATAAATACTTGTTCCGTGCGGGATTCGAACCCGCGGCCCCCAACGCAGCAAGTCATTGCTAAGCCACTGCGCCACGGAGCCGTCAAATTATTTCAGGCCTCCCTAGCTTGTCTACAGTATACTAGATTTTTCCAGTTTTTATTTACCAGTGAACGAACATTACCAAAGGGGTTTGGTTTCGGCCCTATAGTGGCCAGAGCCGATCCTCTTTTAGCCAATTCGTCTGATGCATCGTTGCCTCTGCATCCACAGTGTCCCTTTATCCATTGCAGAGTCACATTGTTGTGTTTACATACCTCATGTAATCGTTAATGGCATTCATATATTAGTCCCGAGTTCACCACATTGCAACTCAGGGGTTGTAGTACCGCCCTATTGTCGGTTAGTATTCTGATGGAGAAGTAATTAACCCTCCTAGCATGAATGATACCTATACATTCCGCCTGTAAAACTGTGTTGTATACAGCGGTGTGTATATGTGGATGTTGAGGTCTTCAGAAAAAGTTCCAGATCCTACGACTTAATTTGTTTTAGAACCAGCGGAGAATACTCTTTTGGGCTTAATCCCTTCGGCTGGCTGTTTCATTTAATTGTATCTGATACTTCTCATTGAATACAAATTATTTTAGGGATCTTATCGTACTTGGCTTGTAAGTTAAGAATTTTTGAGTGAATTCTATCTATTATGCCTGTATGAGGGACTCAATTCTTACTCCAAAGATTTAGGGACTTAAGTCTAATAGCAGCATGCAATGTAAGAGGCGTCTGGGAAATGCCCAAACCCTTAATTGCTTCCGATAGATGGCGGTACAACCATCTCGTTCACGTCATACTCGCGACCAGCTACAAAGTACTTCTAAGGAGTGAGTCGCCAGGGTACTAATATCATCAATCTAATTGCTAAGCTTGATGATTAAGGCATGTCTTCCCTAATGTAAACACAAATAGAAACTTCTTTGTTCAATATAGATTGTAAATATCTAATAGTAATTGAAAGTCACTCTTTTGTTTTATATACCACTAGTTCGGAAAAAATAACAGCAAGAAATACAGCGGGACTTTAAAAAAAACAGTTAAGTAGCATTAATTAGGATTAATCAAATTTACATCAGTTCTATAATAATTAAGGATTTTCTTTTGCATATCAATGATATGTTGCAAACCTGCAAAGCCGTTTTGCTTTTCTGCCGACTTCCAAAAAGGAGACGGTACTCAATTCGACAGTATGTATTTTTTTATGTGTGTTACCTCATAACTTCTAACTGGGTGAACCGATTTGGATGATTCTTTTTTTATATGAAAGCTGATACTTCTCGTGTGGTCCCATATGAATTTGATCAAGATCAGACCAATAGTTTTTGAGTTATTCTTAATAACTCGTATTGAAGTCGGCTCTACAAAATTTTAAATTATATATCCTTCGTATATGGTACACAATTAATAACACAAAACAAATTAGAAATAGCTTGGTGGCGATCACCTCATTCCCAGGGGTTATTATCATCCATAAATTACTTAGAATATATTTACCAGGGACCTTGGACAAATAGTCCAACTAGGTAAGTCCAACTCCGACCGAGAGGTCAATCGACGGATCCAACTCGAGAAAAACAACAAACTTGAAAACAGTATTGTACAACCAGTGCGTGTTGTTAGATCTGAGACACGTCTCCTTCACTGCTGGCCGTAATGGGAAGCTCAAAGTCGCTCAGCGAGCTACAGAGAGGTCTATGCTCCGGTTTTCTCTGCGTGATAAACTTAGAAATGAGGATATACGCAGTAGAACCAGAGAAGCCGACATCTCAACGGATTAGTAAGCTCAAGTGGCAATGGGCCCGCCATATACCTCGAAGAACCGACGGCTAGATGGAGTGACGACTTAGTAAGACATGCAAGAAGTCAATGGGTGCAGGAATCTCAAGACCGTGTTTTGTGGCATTCCTTGGGGGAGGCCTATGTTCAACAGTGGACAAGTCCATATAGGCCTGTAATAATAATGTCCTCCAGACCGAATTTCGGTCACGGCGGCCAGCCTTAACGGAGACTAGTCATCTACTGCAGGTGCTCTCTATTCCATCACTCTCATAGTCCGATGGGACGGTAAACCGACACGACCGGAGAGAATTTAGGCGCAGGACCAACGGTTTTACGTGTTTTCCGAGGCACGGGTGAGACACCGCCAACTTCCTGACTCCGGGATGCTACTGAGAATTTCTTGATGGAAAAACTCAATAACTTATTTTTGACGCGACAGGGGATTTGAACCCACGAACTCATGATCAGCGGTCGCACTACTACAACCAATAGAGCAGCGGGGCAGAAGCGCTGTAATGATGATGGTATAGGTATGGTGGCAACTTAAGATTTGCGTATCATTTCGTGGGTGTCGTAAGGGAGACGAAGGGAAATAATCAGATAGACTGCAGCATCTTCCTTATAAAAACTCAAAATAATTGAAAATGAGGGGTGCCACCTTGCTTGCCAAGCACGGCTAACTATCCTCCCTATGAAATAATAAGGCGGTTCGTTCAGTAGTAGACCTTTGTTAGGTTGTATTCAAGAAGCAAATACGTTTTATATAAATATTATTTTTATAGTTTTTATAATCATTTAGTGAACATGCCGCCATCTATCGTCAACGTAGCTAAACTACATTGCAACATCGATATGGAACGATGGGGAGTAGTTTTACTATTTATCGGTAGATGGAAAATAGTAAAGTGGGTGGGGCTTAACATCCCCTCACCCCGCAAATTGTCACGCGTTGTTACATAGTGAAATCTAATTAGAACACCTCTTTGTATTTGCTCCGTGGTTGTATTGATGATGATATTGGTATACCATCATTAAAACTATTCAAATATCCACTGTTGAACATAGCCTCTCCCCCCCATTGACTGCCTCATAGGGAGGATGTTTGCCACGCCTGGCAACCTCAGTTTTTATTTATTAAAGAATATGCTGCTACCCAACTGTTTCATTTTCTTATGTGCTCTCTAACGACACCTAACGGATGACCTGCTGCATACGGAGATACGTTTACGCTTCCATTACACGTCGAATCTTCCTCCTCATTATCCAATATTTTTGATTTTAATATAAATTTAATTCAATAAATTTTTATCCATACAGACATTGGTTTGAGCCGATGGAGAAATCTCACCATTCCTTTTGATTCACTGCCCCTTGTCCATAGCGCAAAATGTTTGATTACTTTATATTCATAAGAGGAGCCTGCTCACCCTGGCTCCTATTTCCGGAATATGTACTTGGAGTACAATGACCGCTTCCAGTAGTTAGGGGTTCAATTTTCTCCGAACCTCAACTATGGGCGGGCGGTTCCAGAGCCAAAGCAGCCGCAAGGAAACTTGGTGTCCTTGCAAGGGTACGGCGGTACTTCACGCCGGGGTAACTTCTTACCTTATATAAAGCGCAAGGCCGGTCGTGTGTGGAGTACTGCTGTCACATATAGGCTGGTGCTGCAAAACGCCGCCTGGTAGCATTCTACTCAGTGGAGAGACGTGCTAAGAGGTTCATTGGTGACCTTGATTTGGTGGAAACCAATCTTATCAGCCTCGAGAACAGGCGCAGAGGAGCCAGTCTCTCGGTATTCTATAGGATGCATTTCGGTGAGTGTGCGCAGGAATTACTTTCTTTTAATTCCTCCCTCTTCATTCCACCGTCGGACAACCAGGCGGTCGGCGGGTCTTCACCAGTTTGTTGTCAGTATTCTACGCATTAGAACCAAAAGGTTTGCTTCGTATTTTGTAATGCATACAGCAAAGGAGTGGAATAATTTGCCGGCGTCTATCTTTCCGTCCGAATACAATCTGGGCGTCTTCAAGGCAAGAGTGAATAGGCTTTTGTTAAGATAAGACAGTGCGATTTACCATCCAAGGCTGCATCACCACTTACCACCAGGTGGCATTATGGTCAAGCACTGGAGACGGAGGAAAATTTCAAAAAAACAAAATTTACGTTATAAGTTTATTTTTTTTACAAATAACAAGACAAAATTCAAGCAACTTATAACAAAAATGCTATTGTTAATGTATAAATAAAATAAATCTATTTATTCCTATTATTAATTATTTATCTATGGGGTGTGAACTGTAAAAAAAAAAGAAAAGGAATGTTCAAGCGTTGCAATCAATAACAGGTATTTTTGCAGTTGTTAGAAGGCAAGCGAAAGAACATTAAGAAATGGAACAAGAAGCCAAGTAATTTTCAGTTGTTTTAAAATTAAATAAACAAATTTAATACATACAACAATAATTAACATGTGACCAATAAATAGACTTAAATGCATAATATTCGCTACCGCAATCTCACACCTGTGCATTAATAACCTACTGTTTCTAATTTCATGTTAGATTGGACATTGTAAAATTGTATCAGCTAATATGTTTTAGATAGTAATGTATTTGCGGTCATAAATTTCGTTTTTTAAATTTCATAGACACAAGATCTATTTGATATAAAATTTTAAAACTAAATATTGCCCTATAAACAACTTCCACAATAATAAGGTAAAAATTCTAACATTACAAAATCGTCTAATTAAGACGTTATAGGTATATAATTAGAAATATTGTAACACTACAAATTATGAAAAAAAAATAGTCAAATAGCAGTTTTCGATATAAACGAATAGATAAAAAACGTTTATGACAGAAATGTAAACAGATAATAAATAGATTTGAAATTAACTAATATGAGATCTGCTAATAACAAAGATATTTTAGGTCAATAATTAACTACAAATAGATAAACATCACATCTAGATAAAGATGTGAAAATATTCGAAAAGCTAGAAGTAATATTTGGCACACAAATACAACGAACACCGATAACAATAAATTCGTATAAACTCGATTTCAGAGTAAGTAAATACAATAATATAGTATTGGGACATAACCGACAATTTTTACATTAACATGATCTGTGACTGGACATTGGATAACTTTATTTCAATTCCTTTATTATATTTTAAATATTGTTAACAACAACAATTGCATATTTAATTATATTATTCACATGTAAAAGAAATTGTTGTGAATCAACAATCCATCAAGAACTTTCGAGACGTAAATATTAAAATAGACGGGTGTGCAGAACTAAATGAAATCAGAAAGTAGAATAGCAAAGTACAAAAATGGTGAAAATCCGGTATTCTGTTTTAAATTTGTTATACTGAATACTGTTTATTGCTTTATTCTTCATATTCTGAAAATGGGCTAAATTATTAGCACTGTTAACCGACGATCATTTATGCACTTACACATAGGGATGTAAACGAGGCGAGAGAGGTGTCAGGCTCGTGCCAAACGTCAGTCTGTAGTCTCTGTTTAACCCTTGGCGTGAGTGTTTATGTATAAATGTACGTGTGTATGTTAAATACGTTCTTCTTCACTGTCCCGTAAAGTTCCACCGCTGGATGTAAGCGTTTCCCGTTGTGATGAGGATTTACCTAAATCATCACTCTTCGCAGGAGGAATTACGAGCGCAGCAGCTCACGCTCCGCACATTTGACGCAACTATCCATCGCCATCGCCATCGCCACTAAGTGTATTACGAGTCGTATTACATCTAACGTACGAGATATTAATACCCCATCTATCGACCTTGACTTCACTAGAATTTCCCATCGCTTATTACAACACCTACGGTAAGAAAAGGCGGTAAAGGTTTCGTTTACAGCGACATCACACTGCATAATATTAATGTCGTTTACTACTACGCTATTTATTCGTTATTTTAACTTCAGTTGACAGTTCTACGCGCTGTCTATCATTTTTTTGGCAGGACAAGGTAATATACCTAAGCTATATACAGATAGAGGTACGAGTCGTGAGCGCAACCTCGACCAAAGACCAGCGGCCTAATTGTAGATCTCTTGTGTGATGTATAAGGGCGCAGCGTGGCTACGGTGAACATTCTTCCACGTGATTGATCGTGAACATTCTTTAAAGTCGGCAAGGGACCGCCTAAACGAGATTTTATCAATCAAATTGGCGATATATTGAAAATGGGCCGGATTAAGACTGACCTTGACCGATGAACATGTATGCGGAGATATGGATGTAAAGGAGGCCATAGGTGTGTCAGAATCGTGCCAGATGGAACACCGCAGTCTCTGCCGTTTTATAGGATAAGGGTGACAAACGAGCACACAGTCCACCTGGTGGTAAATGGATGCTGTGACCCACATACATACTACATCTACATTTATCCTCGATTAAGAATCAAATGCAGATGCGTTCTCACACCTGAGGACTAAGATGGAATAACTAGTTTCCAGTAAAAGTCTTCGGTTCTCTAGACTCGCCGCACGAAACACAGCAGCTTTAGCTGCTATTTTACGATGGTATTCTTCGAGAGCATGCTTCTTCCGCGCTCGAGCTGACCCATTCGTACTACAACCGTAATCCATCTGCAGATATATGATTCTTTTAACGTGTTTGATCAATGTCAACGTGATTGTTAACTATGGTATATTCACGTTTTCGCATCTGTACACTGATTGGGAAGTGCACACGCGCTCAAAATTGCCCACACTACTGACTCTCTGCTTAAGATTCGTGCCGCTGTCTGGTACTCTATCTGGTACTTAGTTAAAAATATCTCGAGGGCTGTGCACTTTTAATATTTTTAATCTGATAATAGATTTAACGGATGGAAAGCAATACTGATTTATATAGATATATATGTATACACAAAAATGAAACTGGTAACAATATTATACCCACGAAACTGGTAACAATATTCAATTTCATTGTTGTGTAGTAACACTCGTGTATTTAATTAATAATAATTTAACACCTACATGTTAGGTTTTAGTAAAAATTCGAAATTAAACTACTATTGACTTATGATAAATCTTTAAAAACAGCTATCAGTTCATTTTACTTCCTTAACATCTGTCTTCTTGGGTTCATTCTTTGGCTCATCTTCTTCTTCCTCCTCCTCCTCCTCCTCCTCTATTTCTTCTTCGATTTCTTCTACTTCTATCTCTTCTTCTATTTCCTCTTCCGATAGATCCTCTTCTTTCTGCACGCAAATATTAAACTTTTTTAGTTGAATTAAAATGAAAGTATGAATCAATAATATGGACATCAAAAATCTTTAATCAACAATCTTATTGCTGGACAAGTCCAAGGCCCCTTTACAAATGTTGAAGATTTTCTATAATTGTCTAGTTTAGCGCTCAGCCGGCAGATCGGTAACTGCAGAACTACATGGCTAAAATCTTTGTCGCAATATCCTGTTGTCAGTTTGATTATTATGTCACAAAGTTCGTACAAGCGAGATAAAAACTATGAAGTAATTACATTATTTTCACATACAACATGACATAATAAAGAAATATTTGTTTTGACATCACATAAAAAGTATTTAACATAATACCTAATTGCGTTTTGCAAACCAAACTACCATTCCACACGGTATACATTGCTGTTTACCAAGGGCGAATAACCTTGCGTTGGGACTTGGGACTAAGATCAACTTATTTATTATGCAGATGGTCATACAGTGTCAGTCTATATCTATAGATAAGCCCCTTAACTTAACCTCTCAACTGTCAACCGGCCTCTATAAGGTTGGAGTAAAATAACGCGCGTATGTCAAGCGCCTTCTGGAGGTCGATCGGCTCCGACATATTTCAATGTGCTAAATTGCCTCTTAAAACCATATTTATACTGCTCACTTTCGAACAATATGTAGGAGAAATGACAAGGATGGTATAACGTGGCACCTAAAACATCTAATAATATGCATTATACATATTTTTTGTGCGGCGCTCGGGTCGCTTAAATAAGGCATGTTATTGTAAGAGCTTGTATGGTAAAAAAAAATGTATAGGGAGGTGTGTTATTTAAATATATTAATGTTAAATAATGTATCTTTAAGTTAATAAAATAAAATATTTATCAAACAAAAGTTTGATTTTATAATTTTAACGACTTAAGTACAATCCAAGTAGGAAAAAATCGCTTACACTAATTTTTTCTGTTGATAAAAAATTGACAATATATTACAACATAAAACTATTCTGATTCGTATGTAATTAGTTTATTTTATAATAATTCCAACGATGTAAGTTTTATATACAGCGCTCATACAAAACTTTAGAGAAATAGTCAATTTAGTCACACGTGCCACGACCGCGCGGTTCCGTCAGAAGTGGCGCGCAACATGCGCTCGGTCGCGTAAAAGCGCCGTGACGGCCGGGGGGTTCAAAGTTTCACTGTCTGGTTTTCAGACACGATAGTAAGACTATAGCAATGACTTACATGTAGTGCATGGAATTGCGAGTGTTAATATAAGGCAGTTACTTCAACATTACAAACACGTCAATTTTATTTATGTATAAAAGATATACATAAATAAAATTGATAAGATTTTAACAGTGGTAGAGCCACGCGGCAGCTTTTGATGTCACACGGATGGGCCGGCTCGAACCGGGGTGGTACCACGACCTCACAGAAGACCAGCGTGAAGTAGAGGTTTACCTCTGCGTTTCGCTTGGTGAGTGCAGGTAGCCTGAGGCCCTTTTTTCTGAAAAAGAGGCATTCCATCTTAGTCCTCACGGGTGGCAACGCATCTGCATTTTGATTCGCAAACGAGGATAGATGTAGATGTCTATGGGCCGCAGCAACCACATACCATCAGGTGGACTGTGTGCGCGTTTTTCACCCTTATCCTATAAAAAAAAATACATTACCTCAGCGGGCGGCTGCGTCATGGCGCTGGCAGTTGTAAAATCATCCAGTGTTGACTCTGGAATGAATTTGTAATTAGAAACATTAAAATATAACATAAAACATACTGTGTAATTAATACACTAACGAATTTAAACACACCAATTAGAGCCACGCTGCAGCTATATTATAGTTGTAGCACAAATAGGTCGGCTCGACCGGGGAAGGAACACGCTCTCACAGAATGCCAGCGTAAAATAGTAGCTCAATGCTACTGTGTTTCGTATGGTGAGTGTAGAGAACCGGAGACCTTTTTACTGGAAATGAGTCATTCGATCTCAGTTCTCGGGGGTGAAAACGCATCTGCATTTTGATTCTTAATTGAGGGTGAATGTAGATGTCTATGGGCCACAGCATCTACATATTGTGTGCTAATTTGTCACCCTTATTCTATAAAAAAAAACCTAGTCTATTGGGTAAGAATTGACAAATATTATGAAAATGTCTCGCGATAGCGACTGTCGCTTAAGCATCGCAATCTGTAACGACCGACTTCGCTTAAAGCTTCGTTCAGATTGACGCGAATCCCGCGCGGGACGCGGGACGCGGGACGCGAATTGTTCGCGCCAATTACCGATAGCTTCCAGAACAGTTAAGGCCTGGTCGCGCAAGCCTCGAGTGAGAGCATTTATGGCCTGACTTTTATTCCAGCCGTTCGCCCTAATGACAGCCTTGAAATGGACTTTGTGGGCCGACCAGCAGTCCCGTCGAACGGCGGCACTTTGGATCCACGTAGCGAAGGTGTTGTAGCTTGCAAGGGAGCTGTAATTCCATCTCCAAGTTTGAGGTCGTCCAGCGTTTTCTTCACGTCAGCCATCACACGGTCAACCCGATTGTTCAGTTGGTCGATTCGGGTCTCAGCTTCCGAAAGGTAGTTGTCATGTGGAGTAACCCTATCCTTCACCTCCCTTATCTCTTCCCGGAAGGTAGCGTGAAAGTCCTTCATGAGGAGCATCTGCTCTTCCTTACCGTGCTGCAGCTACTCTTCCAACCAACGGGCCTGATCCTCCTGTCGGCGGGCCTGCAGCAACATAATCATTAGAACACCTAAGTCAGATGCTGCAGGTGCAGGAGCTGCTGACGGGCCGCCCTCCATGGCCGGCAGCTGTCCCTCCGACGTCTGCGGCGTTGCACCATTAAATATTCTCTAGTTCATCTCCTGTTGGCGTTGACTTCGGGTACGGATACCCTCCATGTCGTCCTTAGGTAAAAGCGGCATGATTTGATCCCACTTCTGACACCAATTATTACGATCTTGGGGTTTGAGACAATTAAAAACTGCAGAGTGAATTACCAAAATTGACAATCTAATTACAGAACACTAATTACAACTTGAAACCACACTAACAACAAAACAATTGTACTACTGATTACTTTAGTTCGCAGTTGTATCGCTTCGAAGTATTAGCTAGTATCGTCAATTCTCTGTCTCGAGAAACTCGGGTCGCGGCCTATACCGGTCTTATATAAGGCCTCAGATAATTCCAGAACCTCCTACATCTAGAATGTTCGAGTACATACTGGTCCCGACTGACTAGGTGTCGATAGTTCCAGAAAGTTCTTCCATGGAAATTTTTAGAAGGATCTTGACTCTCCTAGTTCTGCTACTCGATACAAGTAGCCGCTAGTGGTAACTAGTGTCACCATGTACCGGGCATTAATTGTGGCGCGCAACATTACTATTTAAGGAAATGTCTTTGTGACAACCCTTGCATATTTGTAGCGACTTGACGTCGAGGCAGCCTTGTAGGTATTTTGCGATATAACAAAGGAGTTGACACACTATTAGTATTTATTACACATAGGGCTGCAGCATGGCTCTACCGCCTATTACGTTTCGTAGTACGCTTCATCGTTTGTAAAGCGTTCAGCAATGAAGTGAAACAGCTTGCTAGTCATTAGATTTCAATGTCTTCAAGGTAAGACTAAACAGGTTTTTATTAATTTTTAAGTTACTATTAAATTTAAAGTGTAAAATGTATAGTTAAAGTTCAACTTTGCTAAATTATATACTTAATTTATAGTTAAAAATAATGTCTTGATGAACTTTACCAGGATCTCTTTCGGGCGTCTCGCGTGGTGTATCCTGTATAAGAGACAGGGTCATTTTCCCGCTGACCACCAACTAGAAAGTATATTTGATGATAAGAATAAATAATTTATATCTTTATGTTTTTGGTGATTGGTGAACAATATAATTGTTAATGTATTAAAGTTTTTTATTTATGTTGAATGGGCTTTGTCGCTGAGCGAACACATCGTCTCGTTCCGACTTCAAAATAAAATAATGTATGTAGTAACCAAGTTCTGTGTAAGCAACAAGTGCGACCATAAATAATCACACAGCTCATTTTGATTTGGAGAACAAGAAATATTCGAAGCATGTGCATGCACTGTGTGTTACTTTGTGATGTGTACGTGCGTGCGTGTGTGTGTGAATATCTTCACATCTTAAATAAGTCGTAAACAACTAAACACCTTGATCAGAGTAATACATACATACATATAATCACGCCTCTTTCCCGTAGGGGTAGGCAGAGACCACTTTTTTCCACTTGCTACGATCCTTACATACTTTTTTCGCTTCGTCCACTTTCATTATTCCCTTCATACATGCTCTTTGGTTTAGGGTACTCTTGACCTGGCCTTTTTTCAAGACGTCCCTGATTTGATCTAGAAACGTCCGCCTAGTTCTACCCCTTCTAACACTTTCATTCACACTCGCCTTATATACCTTTTTGTCAATCGTTCTTCATTCATTCTCTCGACAAGGCCAAACCATCTCAGCATATCTTTCTCAATTTTTGTCACTACATCTTCTTTCAGACCACAACGTTTCCTTATCTCACTATTTCTTATCCTGTCACTCAATTTAACTCCTATCATACTTCTTAACGCTCTCATCTCAACTGAATTTATTCTGCTTTCATGTTTCTTCTGCCATACCCAACTTTCAATTCCGTACATGAGTGTCGGAACCAACACCCCCTCATGCACAGCCAAATGAGCCTTGTTAGTCACCTTGCGACTGCTCATAAAGGAGAGCAAAGCTCCATTCACCATGTTTCCTGCATTCACTCTTCTTTCGATATCACTCTCACGCTTTCCATTTCTCGTAAACTTTGAACCCAGATACACAAACTCTTTCACCTGTTCAATTTGTTCATCTTCAATCATGATATTGCAGTCTGTCACTGCCTTATCTCTTTCAAACACCATCACTTTCGTCTTTTTTACATTCATCTTCATTCCCTTTCTAACAAAAGCTCCACTCATAGCAGTTACCATCTCCTGCAACTCCTCGGCCGAAGACGCAAGTAGTACTTGGTCATCAGCATAGAGAAAACATTTGATGAGTAACTCATTCATTCTCAACCCACTTTCATCCTCTTTTAAATCTGTCAAGCAATTGTCCATAAATAGATTAAACAGCCACGGTGACGCTACACATCTATGTCTTACATCTTTTTCGATATTAAACCATTCAGTGTATGCCCCGTTTATCCTTACACAAGCACTAGAATCCCTATAAAGAGATTGCAATGCTCGTATGAGGATACTGCTCACACCGTTCACGGACAATGCTGACCACAATTCATTCCTCACCATTCTATCATAGGCCTTTTCTAGATCCACGAACGCGCAATAGATCGCGTTTTTAGCCAAACACTTTTCGGCTATGCACCACAAGAAAAAGACGTGATCTGTACATCTCATTCCCTTTCTAAATCCCGCTTGTGCATCCCATACTTTTTCTTCTGTTTTATTCAGAACCCTTTCAATCAGCACTTTCGCATACAATTTACCGACGACGCTGAGAAGGCTTATACCGGGGTAATTTATGCAATCCTGCCGTGACCCTTTTCCCTTATACAATGGCACGATTACGACTTTGCACCAGTCTCCCGGTACTTGCCCATTTCGCCAGCACAAATTGAAAAGGCGATACAGCTGACTAGCCACTATGACCTGTCCAGCCCTCAGCATCTCGACGGTAATCCTGTCATACCCTGCAGCCTTACCTAATCTCATACTTTTCAGCGCTTTCACTATTTCATCCATGCTTATCTCACTTTCATCAACATTAATATTAGTTTCCATGGAAGGTGCCGGATGCTGTACCTGCACTTCCTCCCTTTCAAACAAACTTTCAAAATACTCTTTCCATCTCTTTAACACACTTTCTTTTCCTTTTATCATGCTCCCATCTTGTGTCCTGATCGTACTCAGCTCCGACGTAAAAGTTTTTTCTCTGGCTGTTTTGATGGATTTCCAGAAAAACTTAATGTTTGACTGGAAATCTTCAGTGAGCCTCCTATCTAAATCATCCTTTCGTTCTTCCTTCTTTCTAGACACAACTTCTTTCGCTGCTGATTTCAATCTTTTATACTTCGTTCTTGCTTCTTTTATCTCGTCATCCGTTGCCTTTTGAACTTTTTGGTTAGCTTTTGTTGCTAACCAATCCAACCACGCTTTCTTCTTTTCTTGCACAACCTTTTGTACATCTTTATCCATCCGCACATTACAGTTCTTTCTTCCTTTCCTTCTTTTAGCTACCCCGCATACCTCAATAGCAACATTCACGACCCCTTACTTAATGTCTCCCACAAATCTTCAATCACACCTATCTCTTCTATGCCTTTAAAACTTTCTTTCAGTTTCTCTACATACTCGTCTTTCTTTTCTTTTTCTTGTAGACTTTCCACTTTTATTCTGTCCAAAACACTCGTAGGCTCGGCCCCTCGATGTCACCACCGTTTAAAGAGGCCACGCATTCGGGCTATGACGAGGAAGTGGTCTGTGTCGAGGCCTACACCGCGGTATGCCCGAGTGTCTAGCACTTTCTTGCTCAGTCTTTCATCCACAATTACAAAATCAATCATACTTCTAGACTCACCCTCATCTCTTGTATACAAAAGGATCTTTTTGTGGTCAAACAATGTGTTGGCTACGCACAGATTCCATTCCAAGCATTCTTCAAGCAGGCTTCTCCCATTGTCATTCACTCTCTCGTCCCCAAACGTACCCAGAACTCCTTCATACACATCACGCTTTACTCTAACCCATCCATTAAAGTCCCCTAACATCACGATCCGTATTATTCAAAACTTCTCTCATGCTATCCCAAAATTGCTCTCTCTCTCTCTCTCTCTCTCTCTTTCTCTTGTTGGGCTTTCAGAGTAATTTCGCGTATTTTAAACCGCGATCAAGTACAATATGTTCGTTTATACCTATTGAAATATTTATGTGACTGAACAAATCAACTCACAGGCGCGTTCTTGGTGGGCTTCGGGCGATCCGTTCTGTTCTCGGCGAAATCAGTGACGAGTACGCGCGTCTGTTGGGGAATCTCTGTTTCTAAGAATATCGATTGTACTTCTTCGGCTTCGTGCTGGAAAAAAATACTTTCTTTTAGAATAAAAAATAAATAAGTGATGCAAGAGCGCGATGTTTTGAACCGTACACAGGTGTTGTGTGACATCAGTGCGAGGGTACTTGGGCAGCTGACTGAACGAAATGGACGTGATGAACATATCTTTTATTTAAGGTGACAAACGAGCGAACACAAAACTTTACGTGGTAGAGCCAAGCTGAAGCTATATTATGGGTGTAGCATGAATGTCGGCTCGACCTGGGTAGGACCACGCTCTCACAGAATACATGCGTAACGCTAAATGCTGTTGTGTTTTTGTATGGTGAGTGTAGAGAACCGGAGACCCTTTTAATTGGACACGAGGCATTTCATCTTAGTATTCAGGGGTGGCAACGCATCTGCATTTTGATTTGACTTAATCGAGGATAGATATAGATGTCTATGGGTCACAGTATCTATTTACCATCTAAGGTGGGCTGTGTGCTCGTTTATCACACTTATTGTATAAAAAAACAGTCCACATGATGGTAACTGGATACCGTTGCCCATATATACTTACTTCAATTCTCCATTAAAACCAAAGTGCAAGTGCGTTGTCAGCCTTGAGGGCTAAGATAGAATGCCTCTTTACTTGCCTCCTTATTGTCTCAGGTTCTCATAACTGTTATTTCACGCTGGTATTATGTGGGAGAGTGGCCGTTTTAACCGGTCGAGCCGACCCATTCTTGCTACAATCATAATACGGTTGCACCATATATTTGCCACGTTGCATAATTTGAAAATTTGTATACCTTTATACGGTCTTAACTATAGTTCGGCCGTTCAGAGAATGCGTTCCTGACACGTCGCGATTGAACTGACGACGTAACTTTGTAATGGCGTTGCAGTTACGATAAAAATATTTTTGCTGGTTGTTTACCGTTTTAACAATTGATGAGTATTAAAACAACATTATTATATCAATAATCAATGAATGTTATAATTTTGTGCCAAACTGAGTGTCAAATAACTTGGTAAACAATATTTTTCTAAATCTATACTGCGCTATTACAAGGTTATTTGTAGTGCTGTGCTAACAATAACAGGCAATAACAGTATCGTAATCTGTTCTTATACAGCTATACTTTATAAAATAATACGTTTTGTTTTTCTTTTTAAGAATTTGAAAATAATGGACTATAAGATAACTTTTATTAAATATAAAAATAAAACTAGAAGACTAAAAACTTGACTGTGGAACATTTTGACCGAGATATCAGGATTGATTCTGTTATTGATAATAATATAATTATACATGTAGGCGAAGATGATGATGAAGACACCATCTCCTCAAGCGAATCGGAGTCTGATTAATATTCTGTACGCACATTCAATTCAATGTACTTTATTGCATAGAAATACAGATTGTAACTTTGTAACAAAGAATAAATAAAACAATTTTATTATATTAATATTACCTTTTTTTGCTTTCCACTTAAATTACTAAAATATAATTTTTAAATGATTCCGCCAATTTAAAACGAAAATAATCTTTAAAATAACGCGGCGGTTCATTTTGGAGGAACGGTAACGAACTCAGTGTTATGTTGTGCCCATCACTAGTCCTGACTAACTGATAGGTGTCAGGAACGCATTCTCTGAACGGCCGAACTATAAACTAAAATTTTTGTTATGTTAAGATAATTGATAACTGGTGCTAAATAATAATGTTAAAATAACTGATAAATGAGTGATGTAAGCTTGTAACTGCCGCTACGGTAAGTGCATATGTGGTGTCACTCTCAAGCAACAGTTCTCACCGCCGGCCGCTGCACGTGGGCGGGCGGAGTCGCCGGCGCGCGCGGCCCGCGCCACTCGCTGCCGTCCGCACTGTGCGTTGTCACCTCCATACCCATCACCTGGAACACTCTTATCACTAAACACCAATATTTCGGGTTACCTACTTCATTTGTCATGATAATTCATCATCCATTCCTGTGGTGAGGCCTAGGAATGAATTTTATGGACTGTTGATGTTGAAGGTCTCCACGATGCAGCTGTATGGACCAGCTATACAACTAATAAAACGGCTCAATACAAGCGTAAATTAACCAACAGTGAAACGAGAGCTTAATTGGTAAGAAAACCAGAATTACAACTGAAGTGATAAGCGTACGCACAGTCCACCTGATGGTAAGTGACTACTGCAGTCCATATACGCCTGCAGCCAACTTCTAACAATGAATGTTACATACAGAAGTGTTGTCACCCCTGAGGACTAAGATGAATTGCCTCACAAACAGTGATTATAGTGACTCTCTCTACTGTTAGACAACAAAAATAGATAAGAGGGTTTTATAAGTTGTGTATCGCTAGCAACGCAAAGTCGGGAATTTGCATTTGGAAAAATCCCAAATTAGGGGCTTTTTAGGTGCTAATTAGGTGCCAAGTTTAAAAATTAGGTGCTCTAAAATTTTCACCGCAACAAACGATTGAAATTTGCGTTGCTAGCAAAACGTCTCGCTAGCAACGCAATGAACTTATTAAATATACGATAAATATTAATAGCAAGGAATTAAGTGCTAATTAGGTGCTGCAAGTATACGCAATAACAAGGCGCCCCTAATAAAAATAAAGTCGTTATTCCGAAAATTATTCCGCAAGGCAATTTTTTTTATAGGATAAGGGTGACAAACGAGCACACAATCCACTTGATGGTATGTGGTTGCTGTGGCCCATAGACATCTACATCTATCTTCGATTAAGAATCAAAATGCAGGTGCGTTGTCACCCGTAAGGACTAAGATGGAATGCCTCGTTTCCAGTAAAAAGGGTCTCCGGTTCTCTACACTCAACATACGAAACACAGCAGCGTTAAGCTGCTATTTTACGCTGGTATTCTGTGAGAGCGTGGTCCTTCCCCGGTGGAGCCGACCCATTCGTGCTACAACCATAATATAGCTGCAGCATGGCTCTACCACGTAAAAAATTAGGTCTTTGTGTTTGTACCATCTAGCGTCTATCCTACTTACCACCTTGAGAGTCCATCGATTTTGATTTGATAAAATGACTAGAACTATAGAACGTTGTAGATGGCGCTATTTATTACAAAGCAATTTACTGGAAAGAAAATATCCTTTCGAGTACACTAAAGTTTAGGCTTCACATGTCAAAAATAAGAATTGTAACATTTGTTTGGTTGAAAATTATATTAAATAATATTATAAATCTATAATATAATTTAATATAATTTTCAACCAATTTTCAACCATTTTCAAATATAATCATTTTAAATCTGAAAAACAAAAAATGCAGTTCATACCTTATAGTAAGGTAATGGTGGTTTTAAATCCGATAATTACCAGAATATTACCGTCATCTACATGCGACCTCAATAATCTTTCAGCATCTAATTAGCACTTAATTTTTAGGAACTGATAAAGAGCAAAAAATACTGTTCATACATTATAGTAAGGTAATGGTGGTCGTGGATCCCATAATTCTCAGAATAATATCGTAATCTATATCGGGTTTCGATAATCGATCTGCAGCACTTAATTAGCACATAATTCCTTGCTATTAATATTTATCGTATATCTAGTAACGTCATCAGCGATGCTAGCGATACGTTTTGCCAGCAACTCAAATTTCAATGGTTCGTTGCGGTGAAAATATTGGAGCAACTAATTTTTAAACTTGGTACTTAATTAGCACCTAAAAAGCCCCTAATTTGGACTTTTTCTGAAAGCAATTTTGATTCTATTTTGATTTTCAGGAAATCTGAATTTTGCATCTGCTATGTTCTGAATAACGACTTTATTTTTATTAGGGGCGCCTTGTTATTGCGTATATTTGCAGCACCTAATTAGCACTTAATTCCTTGCTATTAATATTTATCGTATATCTAATAAATTCATTGCGTTGCTAGCGAGACGTTTTGCTAGCAACGCAAATTTCAATCGTTCGTTGCGGTGAAAATTTTAAATCACCTAATTTTTAAATTTGGCACCTAATTAGCACCTAAAAAGCCACTAATTTTGGATTTTTCCAAATGCAAATTCCCGACTTTGCGTTGCTAGCGATACACAACTGATTTTATACGTGGTAGAGCTATGCAGGCAGTATTAGTAGTATAGTTGTAGCACGAATGGGTCGGCTCGACCGGGGAAGGACCACGCTCTCACAGAATACCAGCGTAAAATGGCGGCTTGACACTGCTGTGTTTCGTATGGTGATGTAGAAACCCGGAGAAAAGAGGCATTCCATCTTAATCCACGCATCTGCATTTTGATTTTTTAATGAAGATAAATGTAGATATCTATGGGTCACAGCAACCACTTACCATCAGGTTGACTGTGTGCTCGTTTGTTACCCTATCCTATTAAAAAATATACAAATAAAAATTAAGGAAGAACCTATTTACTTACTTTTACGCTCGAACTTTCTTTTTCTCCATCTTCCTCTTGGATATCTTTAGGTGTATCTTCTTGAAGAGCTTCTTCTAATAGTTCCAGAGTGGGTTGTTTTTCTTCGTTGATACGTTCTCCCCTTTCTTGTTTTATAAGCTCTTCAGTGGTTTGTGCTAACGTTTCTTCTTTCTTCAAATCTAGACCGTCTGATAAGGAAATAAGATCAACAGTTTCGTGATTTCTCCTTTCGCTATTTATTTCTGGAATTTCTTCTAACTCCGGCTCTGAGCTCGATTCATTTTGTTCTGTAATTTGGTCATTTTGATTAATTTTATTATCGTCGGTTTCTATGTCTTGTTTCAATTCTTTAGTATATAGTTCCTGTTCACACAATGTGTCTATTTCTGCAGTTGCGTCTTTTAAAAGTTCAATAGTTTCTCTAGACGATTTTCCTAACTCATTCACAACTTCAGATTCTGGTGCTGTGTCTTTCTGTAGTGAATCTATATCTTCATGCAATTTTTCAGTTTTAATTAATGAATCGTCGGTAGCATCTTGGTCAATAATAATACCATCATCAACATTTTCTTCTGTATTTTCGACCTCTTTTTGTGATTGCGGTAGTGGTTCTGATTCTACAGATAGTTCCCTCTGTTCTGTTAACGTTTCTTTTGGCAGTTGTAATGGCAATTTCTTTTGGTCTATTGGAATTTTCTCGTTAGGTTCCTGGAATTCGCTAGCTACGATGTGGACCGGACCACTATTAAGTAGAATTGTTCCATTGGTGTATGGACGAGCATGGTTATCCTGGGCATCCTGAAAAGGAAAAATAATGTTTTTTTTTTGCGTATTTTTACTTGTTAGTAGCTAGTAGAGTAATAGGGAGGCCAGCTACAGGGAAATTATAACAAATATTAGCAAAGGACTGAACAATTAAAAAAGCGTTTAAATGCATGTCTTTTCATAAAATGTCACATATAGTACGCAGGTTTCATACAAAAAAAAATTGTTAACATTTATGAATTTTAAATTACAAACCATTATTAAAACACAATTATGTTCCAAGCAAATCTAAATCTACCAAACAAAAAGTCTATTTCTACAAAAAATAACACAAAATAAAGAAAACATAATACACTGCCAAATAAAATTTAAAATATTTTTTTCTTTATTGTCAGATCAATATTTAATTAAGGAAATATTTATCATTTGTTATTGCTTTGATTTTTTGTTAGATAGTGTAACTCGGTGCAAACAGTCAGGCGATGGCGGCAAGGACGTCAGGTATAGATAAAACAACAAAAAATTATAGTTGACATGCAAAAAAATATTACACCAATGAAAAATAAAACTAAATGAAATTAAACGAAAGTGAAAAAACTTATTCACAAAATAAATTCATTTTTGCCATTACACTTTAAATGTGTGCGTGTAAATAAATGTATTAGGTGTTTGGCGATGAAACTTCGTAGATTTTTTCTATGGTTCAATAAGCATTTTTGCTTAACTTTTGTCGTATCAAATTCATTTGTTCATGGCGAAATATTTCTATATACAGGGTTATTTTTCAAAGAGTATCCAAATTTTATATTTAAGTTCAAATATACATAATTACATAAATACTGTCACCCATCAAATATATAAATAACGATATTTCGTTATTACAGTATTTGAAAATACTAGTAAATAAAGCTTCTACTTTTATTTGAAATTATCCCAAATTGAATGTGACTGTTTGTATGGCAAAACTACGCGTACGCGTGCTACAATTCACAAAATTTTTGCCGACCGAGTGACCCTTACGAATGTGTGCATGCTTGCGTAGGAAAATAGTAGAATGACAATCAGTCAAAATAATGCATTACCACGCATTCTGAATTTAAAAGATAAAAAGGACAGAATGTTTGAGATTTATTTAATATTTTTTACCATTTGCCTATATTACTTATTCTAAACTTTCTCTGCAAATTTGGGCATATTTATATCAATAACCGTAACTATTAATTATTATATATTAACCCATATTGATACTAAAGTCAAAGTTAGAGTTTCGAGCAAAACTACGTCGTCGCGACATTGTCAACGGCAGTAACCACCTATTGTTGCCGAGTAACTAATTTCTGAAGAAAGACATTTAAAGAAAATGACTCCTTATCACAATTTTCTGTACTTGAATGGTAAATCAGTATCTATTAATCATGTTCGACGCGTCAAAACAAGTTATAATTCAAGTCAATATTGAATCGTGGAGTTGCCTCAAAGATCTGCATTAATATAATTATGTATGTAGCTGTGTTCGAATGCACTCCAATACATTTCTATTTATGCATAATATTCTAGTTTGGTCGCGGGGTCACTAACGCTTTCCTTGCAACTCTACCTTAAAAGATACAAACTTACGTGACGAAACCAAAAAATACATACACTTCAGATATTTAGAGGTTATTACGATTCCCAATGAGATTTCTTCGATGTGCCAGATAGGTATTACGGTCGTGCTTTGCATTTTAATTGTTGATTGCAGCACCCGTTTTAAAAGTGAATAATTGACACTGATGCAAGATGTACATGCACTGTTGCAGGTTAGCCACTGCATTTTAATGAAATGCCCTTAGCCTTTCTTTACGAAATCTATATTTTTCACAGTAAGTTCAACAACCTACTATATTATATACTATCCTACTATATTATGTGTTAGATACTTTATATATTAATAATATATAAATCTCGACCATTTATTGGGTTATAGCGTTTTGTATTAAAAAAACATGTTGTGAATATGTTCTCTTTTTATCTGCCTTAACGGCCGACCGTTAACACACAAGAATTTGTTTCTGTTAATATCATTTTGTTGTTGTTTTTCTGTTCATCTATGGCACCTTTCCAATGATATCAATTTCATTCTCGTCCTTTCATAATAAAGAATAAAGAACGTCCAACAATTTTCGACGTTCACTGAGCAATGAGTACAGTTTAAAGTATAAAGCATCATCCACATTAATGTTTAGCGTTAAAAACAATGAAAAGAATAGTGTAAAAAATAAAGATGGCGAAAATGAAATCATAAAGCAAATAAATAATAAAGAAATCATAATGAACTTTTAAAACGAACTATACCAGTATTACACTTGCATATATTGTACTTAGTATCGTGTTTACTAACTATTCCATCTCAACTCAATAACACTGATATATTATACAATGTAAATACTGGATGGCTTTCTTACCTCTTGAAAAGAAAAATTAGTGTAACATGCGAATGAAGTTGCAGCCTATAGCATAGAATTTTTTTTAAATTTTTATTGGTATAAAGTTTCTTATTTTGAAAAATAAACAAAACAACTGGAATTATCGAAATTCAAATAATGTGTCGTAGACCTTGAAGGCGACCGTTATGAAAAAAATTGTTTCAAATTACAAGTATTTAATACTTGTTGAAAAATTATTTTCGTATTGGTAAAAGTACCAGTGGTAAATAATTTGTGGTAAAAGTAAAAACTGACTTTCAATAAGTATTCTTGTCTATATTGAATAAAAATGATTCTATTATATTATATTTTTTCATACATCAATGACAAAAAAAAATGAAAAATGTCTATGCCATAGGCATCTACTTTGTTCACCTTACCAATTGTTTCAAGACGGTAAAAAGTACAATTCATCTATAGTAGTAGTAAAGAATGAAATACGTTCCAAAGTGCATTTTATGTGTGTTTATTCAAACTTTAAAATATAAGAGCCTCTCAATTGTTTGTGTTATTTATGGTTTAGTGTCTATGTGGTATGCAAGTGTAAGACTGGTATGCGTTCGTGTGGACTCCTCGTAGCATGCAAAGACCTGACGTTGCTGGTTCTGAGCGTCGCTCGCCTCCATCTGCTGTTGGACCTCCGCTACCAGGCCAGAGATGGCCGTGACAACTGTGCGCGACAAATGTTGTCATTAATCACGTTGGTTCGAGTAAAACAGTTTGTATGCTTCAAAATGTTGAAATTAATAACATTATTGTTATTTTATGTTATATATTATTGTTATTCTCAAGCTATTTTAGGTTCATCTTGACCGTAAATGCCTGAGGTGTAATAATTAATAAAAGAGACTCATCAAAACCTTTTGTCAAAATATTTAGAGGTAATAATTCGAATGAATGTCGTGTATGTCAAAGTGAATTTTTTTTTCTTTTAATTTTATACCTACTATTTATTTACATCATCAGTCACTATTCAAATTATTTCTTCCGAATCAAAAATATATTATGTAATTTAAATTTATCAGGAATTATTAAAATAAATGTTTAAATAAAAATAAAAAAGAACAACTGAAAATAAACCATTATGAAAACATAGCGAGAGACGCTAAGACCAAAATAACTTGTTCATCAGACGATTGAGCGTGTACCCTTGGACCGTAGCCAATTGTTCTAATAATGTATCATAATTAATATTCTACTGCAACGTATCCAATAGTCTTTTAAGACTGTGAATTGTGTTTGAATCCATACATAATATACAAAATATTTGTAACATTTGAAATAAAAATAAATCGATATTTCGCTCCCTACTTTGGTTACTAAGAATGAATTTTGCCTAAATGTCAAGTTCACAGTGTTATATAGGAGACTAAAGTATGCTACGCAGTATATGTTGATAGCTTTACTTTGTTAAGTTAAAAATAATTTAAATTTTCAGTTAAATTTAATTTTAGAGAACATTCCAAATCTTTTTGGCAGGTGTCATTGTGACACCCAAATGTCAATGTCAAATGTGTTTGGCATTAGTAAGTAAGACACATTGTAACAAAATAGGCCTCCGATGTATGATGATGTGTACTATTATTAAATAATAAGCTAACTTAACAACCAAATATTAAATATGCCAATGCACGTTTCTACCTGCAAAAAAAACATAGACAATAATCAAAATAATATATCAGCTTACATAGTTATTAATAATTAATTAACATTTAATTAATAATTATATTCAAAAGATTAACATACAGTATTAGACAGTTTCTAATAATAGTAATAAATAATTAATTGATTAAATCAAGAACAAAATTCAAAATTGTTTAGTTTCCATTCACATGTTATTCAACTGGGTAACGGTATAATTTATTACAGGGAGGCAACCTGTAAACGAACCTTCATTTGACGAAATCATAACAGGTGAAAACGGTCCACAACACAATCGTCCAGACAAACACATTCATTTTGGTCCTGCGTGCAGTGAACACTAACCCAAAATTAAAAGGGCTTAACCGTCACCATGCCGCAAGCTACTACGATAGAAACATCTAAGTAAACAGCACGCAATTTTGAACGAAAGTCTCGTTTTGTGTTGGACTGGCTCTTTACTTCATTTATTTTAATTTTATATAAACAGTTTTTAACCCTTTTTCGTATGGAAGAAGTTTAAAATATAATCACTAGATAAAGTGCTAATCCGGCAAGACTGACGCTTTCTTAAAAAGAACGATAGTGGCAGAATTGTTAATTATTAACGTACAGCTTAACTTTTTTATGTCCTTAACTTTAAAAGAAATAATATTCCGCCAGGCAAGGTATACGGAATGTGTGTATAATATATAATATAGAATAGTTTGGAAACTTTGATAGCGTGATTTAGACTTGATTTAGATCGTTCGGTGCGTCAACGTAGCGCGCGTTTTAAAAGCAACATTAGGAATTTTGTAAACTCGTTTTTTTTTTTACTGACTGATTTGTTTTCGATCGAATATAGTAAAAATTAAAAAAGGTTTTAATTAGAATATGTTTTCGGTTTCCGGTAATGTATTTCCAAAGTGAGGCAGTCCAACACGCAACAAGCAGTACCGCGTCGCGGCGCGCCAGCTGGCCGACGATCCGCTGCATGGCGCGCTCCGTCTCCGCCAGGCGCGCCCGGAGCGCCTCGAGCTCCACGTCCCCTGAGTTACATGCTATTACAATCTAATCCCAATATTCACTAACTGCCCTTAAGTCTAGTTGCATATCTCTTAATACATATTATGACGTTAATACTACTTTATTTAATTAATATCTACAAATATCATAAGAGGATATCCGAGCAGTGCGAAATTTAAAGAATTCAGGAACACGACCGAGAGAGATAACTGCATCTCGGACTGATTATATATAGGAAAATTGATGGAGCCTGTATTCCCCTATTTCCTCCTCAAAAACAGGACCGGTATATTTTTAACCGACTTCAAAAAGGAGAAGTTACTCAAGTCGACTGTATTTTTTCTTTTTTATACGTGTGTTACCTCAACACTTTTTTCTACGTTAACCGATTTTTATGATTCTTTTTTTATTTGAAAGCTAGTGCTTCTCTTGTGGTCCCATATAAATATGATTAAAGTTTGACCTGTAGTTTTTGTGTTATCCTTAATAATTTATATTGAAGTCGGTTGCACAAATTTAAATTTACCACTTGTACTAAAACTAGTTCTTGACAGTATTCGAATGGCGGATTATATAAGAACAATGTAAGAAGTATTTTGATTGCCTGTATGTTTTCCCTTAATATTTTATATTCGTTAAATTTGTTTGATGGATCTTGATTGATAGTCTAATAAAGGCGGTATTTTTATAGTATAGGGTGACAAACGAGCACACAGTCCACCTGATGGTAAGTGGTTGCTGTGACCCATAGACATCTACATTTATCCTCGTTTGCGAATCAAATTGCAGATGCGTTGCCAACCGTGAGAACTAAGATGGAATGCCTCGTTTCCAGTAAAAAGGGGTCTCCGGTTCTATGCACTCACCATACGAAACACAGCAGTGGTAAGCTGCTATTTGACGCTGGTATTCTGTGAGAGCGTGGTCCTTCCCCGGTCGAGGCGACCCATTCGTGCTACAACTATACTACTAATATAGCTGCAGCATGGCTCTACCACATATAAATATATAAAATATATATATATATATATATATATATATGGTATAAATTGGCAGTTTTAGTAATTATTCAACTGTATCATATTCCTATATCCCTAATACCTAGAAGATATAGGTGATGATAGCAGATGATATATACAGGCTTGCTGAAAACTTCCTGACAGAGCGTGATGGAGGAGTACAAAATGCTACAAATTTGAACCCCATACGTATGGCCAAAAATGAACAGTCTTGAGATATACGAATTTTAAAGATTTTTCAATAATCACCCAGAATTTCGTATTAAATTCTAAATAAAAATAAAACCTTCTTTTCTTTTATACTTTATGTATCATAAAATGATACGTACTTCAAAAAATTACTATGACATGAAACATAAAAATATTTTAAAAACAATCTATCCAAAAAGGCCATACATGATATGGGGGGGGGGGGGGGTCAAATTTGTAGCATTTTAACTCCCCTATCACGCCCTGTTAGGAAGTTGTCTAGTTCCCAGTAACCCTGTAGATAGCATCGTAAAAATATGTGTTCTGATTTAATTATTCAGGGAGAAAACAGCGGAATACGTTTGTATGGACTATGGACTAAACGCCGGATATCCTCATAACGCCATAATTATAGCCAGTCATTACCATTTTTTGAGATATCGTCTGCAATTTCAAAAGTAGAAATAACTTATTAGTCAGCCTTCCGTCAGTCGAAAGCCCACAGATAAGTCTTCAACTCTTCAAAGTTTGAGGCAAAAGATATCGTATATTTTACGTGAGCAATTTTTGGATGTAATGTTTTACTTTCCAAGTTTATTTAGATAGGTTTCATCTTTGAGAATTGTTTTTTTTAGCTCAAAATATCGGTCTATTATAAATTAGCTTATAATCTAATAATTACTTCAATTAAGGTTGGTTTCAAGAAACGGTCAAATTACCATTATAGTTTTTTTTATTTATTTGACCTTTGGTATTTAATATTATAATACAAATGCATCGATCACAAATTTTTATTAGTGATCGATGTACAAATGTTAAAATACCGCCCAACTAATTGTTATTAAATTAATATCGATTCTCACGAAACTATAACATTGCGAACGTAAAGATAACACGTTCTTTTTCCTGTTTGCATAGTTAGAAACAGCCAATTAAAAAAAAACTAATTAGCACGTTATCAGTAAAAAAAATATATGTGTCATTAATGTATACTCACTTGCGTCCCTCTCTTTCGGTCCTGTGCGTGTAAGCAATGAGGATAACTTTTTAATTTAAAAAAAAAAACCCACTATTGACCAGTATTTGTGTTAATAAAATATACTATTACATACAATTTTATTGAAATTTCTTATGCTACTTTTTACACGGTTTTTCATAGGATAAAACTTATTCATTATATTAATTGGATTAATTAATAAATTAAACATTTGAACTCGTTTATGTTGTATTGTATCCTATGAATAAATATTACGTGACGATTGAAACATCGGCTGTTACAAAAGTTACAGCCTATATATTATCTCCCACGCATTTCTGAGAGGGTTTTAGGGCAAGGAAGTGTCCGTCGCGCTGCCCCAATACGTGTTGGCGGACTTCTCATGTCTTTGAAATATTTTATTAATATGTGAGGCATACGGGTTTCCTCACGATGTTTTCCTTCACCGCCGAGCACGTGGTAAATCAGCACTTAAACCGCAATTAACAATTTCATTGGTGCCCGCGGGGATCGAACTTGGGTTGTTAATTTACAGTGAGCGCCAAGCTCCTGAGCTACCACGATTCTTGAACAAGTAAAGATCGAATAGTTATAAACTGATATTTTTGCAGTTAATAAAATCAAAGGCTAACACGCCGTCAACATTAGTTTGTATTTCAAATGTCAGACCAACAAAGTACGTTTCAAACGACGCCGAAACCATGCTCAAATTATTGTCCTTTTGCAAACGACAACATTGTTTTAGGTGCATATGATGTGTGTGTGCGTGTTCAATAAGCTGAGCATGGTTTCGGCGTCACTTGAAATGTACCTAGAGTTCTGTCTATCTTTCTTTGTTGAGTAAAACAGGTTTTGCTACTTCATATTTTAATGTCTATTTTATCGGGTTTCTAAGTAGATTATATCCATATTATAGGATGTTTTGTACATAAGTGACATATAATGCTCTGAAAAATGTAGTAGAGCCACACTGAAGCTATATAACGACTGTAAACGGAACGTTTCGACTAAAGAACTACCACGATCTAAAAGTATATCAATATAAAATATAGCAAAAGAACGCGCACTAACGGAAATGAAAGACTTCATATGACGTTCATTTTATCCCCGTGACTGATAACGAAGCTGGCCCTTTCTTTCAAAGATAAATCATCATTAGATACCGCCTTATAAGCTGTGGTAGCTCGGCGCCAACCCGGTGCGATCCTCGCCGGCACCAATGAAATTGTTAATTGCAATTTTATGTGCTAATTTACGACGCGCTCGGCAGTAAGGAATAAACATCGTAATCTAAACTCGCATATCCGAGGATTCGAGTCAGATTTCATTCTTCGTAAAATATTTCAAGGACACGTGAAGTCCGCCAACGTACTGCAGCAGCGAGGTCTATTTGTTCTTTAACCCTCTCAGAAATGAGGAGGTCCGTGCCCAACAGGAGGACGTATAAAGGCTGTAACTTACTTTACCAACCTTATTACTGCAGCCCTAACTCCTAATGCTGAAAACAGGTCTTCGCAAAGACCCAAATACCATAAACTACCCGCATGTCTACTAATAGTAACAGTTCAAGAAAATCAAGTGAATTGTCTACCTCCTCTTTGCTTATTATTGGAACGAAGTTCCTTATCGGACGGCACGAATTTGGCGGATGAGGGCTAGTTGAGAAAAAGTGTAAGATTTTTCCGTCACGACCCCTTCTGACGTAGTGTAGACGGCTTTGGCGGCTATAAGGAAGCGAGATGGAATAATTATCCATCTCCCTCGCACTTTTTCTTATCTTGCCATGAAATAAACATTATATCAAATGACGCTTCATTTTAATTCACTTATTTGTATTTGTTCATCAGCAATATAATATGTTTATCAATAATGTTATAACTACGAAAGGAACTTCGTTCCAACCGAGTGTTCCACGACACTCACGCATGTATTTTTTTACTCTATAAAATAAAAGTAATTTGTACACTAAGCTACATAACCATAGCTTCTATATCATCCTCGATATTCACTGCTGAACAGTGGTCTTACACTAGGATAATTATAAAACACAGTCCTGAGCCAACTGTATCCGATCTGCATGTGCCTCGAAATTTAGATTCCATTCTTACAATCCTTAAATAAGATAATATTATATCTAACTAACAAAATTATTTTAATAATATTAAAAAACATTCTAAGCGTTCCACAATGTATTATTATCTCACCTAGCTTATCCGGCGAAGACCTGGAGTCGTCTCGGAAGACTCTCCTCCTAAACTGAGGGTCAGGCGCGACACTGTCGTATGCTGAACCTGTGCGCTTGAACAGGATCTGAGAATTGTAAAAAAAGTAGATGGAAGTTGTCACCCTCATATATTCAGCAAAAAATAATTTAAATCTTTATTCTATTTTATTTATAGGATAGGGTGACAACTGACAAACGAGCACAGTCCACCTGATGGTAAGTGGTTACTGTGACCTATAGACATCTACATCTATCATCAATAAAGACTCAAAATGCAGATGCGTTGTCACCCTTGAGGACGAAGATGAAATGCCTCTTTTCCAGTAAAAAGGGTCTCCGGTTCTCTACACTCACCATACGAAACACAGCAGTGTTAAGCTGCTATTTTACGCCGGTATTCTGTGAGAGCGTGGTCCTTCCCCGGTGGAGCCAACCCATTCGTGCTACAACTATACTACTAATATAGCTGCAGCATGGCTCTACCACGTATAAAATTTTTAATATAGACACACTACACTTTGATTTCTCCTTCTTCTTCTTCCGACTTCTCTAGACAGTAAAAGTCCACTGCTGGACGTGAGCCTCTTAGGCCGTTCTTAACAGTCACGGTTAGCAAGCGATCGCAGTGCCAGACGTCTGGTACCTTTGGTGCCGCTGCCCGTCTGTGCGTATTTTACGCCTGGTGTAAACGCGATGGTTATTTTGTCATCTATTGCAAGCATAAGATTTTGCTGATATTTCTCAGAGTCACCTCTTAACACATCCTTTTTATACGTGATAGAGGCACACTGCTGATATATTATGGTTGCAGCACGAGGTAGGACCACGCTCTCACCAAGTACCAGCGTAAAATGTCAGCGTAATGATGCATAGATTCATATGATGAGTACAGAGAACCGAAGATCCTTTTCAGTGGAAACGAGGCATTACTGCTTAGTCCTCCAGAGTGACAACACGTCTGCACTTTGATTTTATTTTTTTAGTTGTAATTGAATACATTAAACATACACATATCTATACAAACAAATAAAATTGAGGTGTGTGTTTGTAATGTCAAAATTACAGCTTTTTACTAAATGCATATGAAAGTATATACGGTACTTATAACAAAAACACAATTTTTAAAAATTTGTCTGAATGTTTGTTCCGGCTAATCTCCGAAACGGTTAGACCGATTTTGATGGAACTATCACTGGCAGACAGTTGATGTTATAAGGAGTAACTTAGGCTACTTTTACCTAAGAAAAAGAATTATTATATTAAGGTACCGAACCAAAAAAATTAAAAACCTAAATTACACGCGGGCGAAGTCGCGGGGAACAGCTAGTATATGTAGGTATATATGTACACATTAAGCATACTCTACTAAAATTCGTAGCCTAAATATGATTTCATATTAGCAGACACACGTACCTTGCTAAGAGTGTAGACGAAGAACACAATGATACAGATGGTGTAAATCGGCATCACGAATCCCATGGAGGATTTGGGAGCCGGGACCGGGCCCCCGGGGGAGCCGAGCGGGGGCCGCATTCCCGGAATCGGTGGGGGCTGCAATAAGAATGGTTGTTATTGAGGATAGCTATATTAAAAACACTTATTTGTATTGGACATCCTTTCAATACCTACAACATGTAACAAAAATCCTGTGGTTTTGAGATGCTCGAAATTTAAAAATGGAACGCACCCGTGTTATATGTTTCTAAAAAGCAAATTTATTTATAAATAGAACGCCATAAGGTAATTGCACAATTAAAAAAAAAAAAACAAAGTACTATTAATTTTCCTGTAACACTTCCCGCGCTTTTCATTTAAAACGATGGATCTTAACCGTGAACATTTGCGCGCTATGATATATTATGATTTTATATTTGGTTTAACCGAACAATTAAGTTTACAACGGTTGCAATCAGCATTAGGGGACTCAGCTCCATCACGCGCAACCATTTTTAGCTGGTTTTCTGAATTCAAAAGGGGTAAAACTAATCTTAAAGATGACTAAAGAACCGGGGCCCCGCAAACAGCAGTAACGGCAGAAAATGTATGGACTACTAAAATGTTGGTGCGAGAAGACCTACAAATCACATATACGGACATCGAAAAGATTGTAGGCATTAGTTCGGGTAGCGTTCATACCATCCTACATCAAGATCTTGGAGGGAGGAAGCTTTGCTGTCGTTTGCTCTCCAAAAGCGACTCGTGTGGATTGGTGCCATGAAATGCGTCTACTTTTTGAAAACGGAGCATCTAGGCGTATTTCAGAAATCGTTCCTGGTGACGGGATATGGATCTATCAATATGATCCGGAAAATAAAAGGCAATCATCGGTATGGGTTTACTGAAAAGGACAGTTATCGACAGAACTGCAAATACCTCGCAACGTCGGCAAAAAATGGTGGCTAGTTTTTTTTCGCGGAGCGGACATTTGTCGCCGTCAATGCTGGAAAATTGTAGGTCAGTCAACTCTGAATGGTATACTACAGTTGCATTACCTAAAGCTTTTCAAGCTGTGCGGGAGAGAAGACCAAAGACCGAGCGTCGGGGAATCATGCTGCATCACGATAACGCCTCTTCACATACCTCCCTTACAACAAAAGCATTTATTGAGGAATCTGGTGTTGAAACTCTAAGTAACCCACCCTACAACCCTGACTTAGCTGCTTGTGATTTCTTTTGTTCCCAAGAGTCAAAGAAAAAATAAAAGGCAAGTTTTTATCAAGCGCCGCAGAAGCCGTGGTTGCCTACGAAGAAGCAATTTCCGACCTGTCAGATGAAGACTGGCAAAAGTGTTTTCACAGTTGGTTTAGGCGAATGGAACTTTGTATAGAGCATGATGAAGAATATTTTGAAAAGATGTAAAATAAATATTAATAGTATCTAGAATACTTTTTGTTCTCAGATCCGTCCAACTATAGGCCTATCGCTATCACCTCCTTGTTCTCCAAAGTAATGGAAACCATTATTAACAGCCAGCTCATGCGGTACCTTGAGGATCACCAGCTGATTAGTGACCGCCATTACGGTTTCCGTCGAGGTCGTTCAGCTGGTGATCTTCTAGGTTACCTAACTCATAGATGGGCGGAGGCAGTGGAGTCCAAGGGGGAGGCGTTGGCCGTTAGTTTGGACATAGCGAAGGCTTGCGATCGGGTTTGGCACAAAGCGCTTCTTTCGCAGCTGCCTTCCTATGGGCTTCCCGAGAAATTGTGCAACTGGATCACCAGTTTTCTTGCAGACGGTGCATGCTCCGGTTACAAGCCCATTAACGCTGGTGTTCCACAAGGCTGTGTGCTATCACCAACGCTGTTTCTTCTGCATATCAATGATATGTTGCAAACCAGTAACATTCATTGCTATGCAGACGATAGCACTGGTGATGCTTTATACACCGGCCGTGCCAATATTTCTCGGGAAAACGTCTTCGAGTATCGGAACAAACTTGTGTCTGAAGTCGAGACTTTGTTGAACAAAGGCGACTGGGGGCAACTAAATCTAGTCCAGTTCAATCCCCAGAAGACACAAGTTTGCGCGTTTACCGCTAAAAAGAACCCCTTTGTCGTATCTCCTCAGTTTCAAAGCACTCTCCTTGTTGCCTCAGCCAGGATCGATGTCGACATATCGAGTGACTTGCAGTTTCGTTGTCACTTGGAAGAGAAGGCCAAATTGGCCTCTAAAAAGCTTGGCGTGCTCAGCAGAGCGGGACAGTATTTCATGCGGGCAAACCGCTTGTAACTTTACAAGGCGCAGGTTCGGCCTCACATAGAATACTGTTCCCATCTCTGGGCAGCGGCTCCCCAGTGCCAGCTTCTTCCATTTGACCGCATCCAGCGCACAGCGGTTCGAATCGTCGACGACCGAGTTCTTTCCAATCGGCTTGACTCACTGGCACTGCGTTGAGAGATGTTGCATCTCTTTGCGTATTTTATCGCATCTATCACGGGGAGTGGTCTGAGGAATTGTTCGGACTAATTCCAGCTCGCTCGCGCTCAATTTCACCATTACACATCGCGACAAAACTTGCGATACTATCCATATTATCCGGATGATTGGCGGTCCACCACTGTGCGATTTAGAAGAAGTTTTCTGTCTCGCACAACTTCCTTGTGGAATCGATTACCACCAGCGATTTTTCCGGACCGATACGACTTAGGGACCTTCAAGAAAAGAGCCTACTCCTTTTTAAAAGGCCAGCAACGCATCTGCGATTCCCCTGGTGTTGCAGTTGTTGTTCATGGGCGGCGGTAGTCAATTACTATTAGGTGAGCCGCATGCTCGTTTGCCCCCCCTCCTATAAAAAATATCTCAAAACTTATTGAGTGACCTACGTATTACTGGTATAATTGTAGCAGGAATGGGTCGGCTCGATTAGGAAAGGACCACACTCTCACAGAATACCAGCGTAAAATAGCAGTTTAACGCTGCTGTGTTTCGTATGGTGAGTGTAGAGAACCGGAGACCCTTTTTACTAGAAACGAGGCATTCCATCTTAGTCCTCACGAGTGACAACGCATATGCATTTTGATCCGTAATCGAAAATAGATAATAAGAAAAGGTAGATGTCTATGGGCCACAGCAACCATTTACCATCAGGTGGACTGTGTGCTCGTTTGTCACTCTAATTCTATAAAAAAAATCAGTAAAAAGGGAACACACAGTAGAACACAGGATTGTGTGATAGTTATCACATTTAGAATAATTTAAAATTAAAAATTTTGTACATCGAGTTCAATATAAGTTATTAAGAATAACTCAAAAACTATTGGTCTGACCTTGATCAAATTCATATGGGACCACACGAGAAGTATCAGCTTTCAAATAAAAAAATAATCATCGAAATCGAAAAGGAATTGTGGTTGTTAGCTGTTAGTGGAAGTAAGACAAAGAATGCTTGGATGGTAGTAAAAAGCACACCGTATAACGTCTATTTTTGAAAGATTGTCGACTCACGCTGGGTCATCATCATATCATCACAGCTTATCAGAGTCCATGATCATCATCATCATCATTACAGCCCTTCACAAGTCCACTGCTGAACGTAGGCCTCCCCCAAGTAATTCCACAAAGCACGGTCCTGAGCCACCTGCATACACCGACTTCCTGCACGTCTCACTAGGTCTATGTCATGTCTGTCCATAATTATTTTACGTTTATCAATTATTTTGTATCAGAAGCCCATGCGTTTTAAAATGGTTCTCAAATACTCTATACTACCATTGTACAAGCCGGCATCTAGTAAAGCCGCAGTAGGAAATTCGCCCCTCGTGAAATATCCGTAGACATGGTTTCTACTGCTTAACATAGGCCTCCCCCACAGATTACCTGATAGGGGGAGATATTTGCCATTGTTTACTCGCCTGGCAGGTGGAGTGGCCACCGCAGGTTTTTTATTATTTTCGAGTTATTTTAGGAAGAAGCTGCTGGCCATCACTGTTTTCAGGGTATCTCTGTCGCCTCTTACGACACCCACAGCCAAGGTAAGGGGTCGTGCTTCCTCTAAAGTCCGCCATTACACTATGACACACTCTGCTGAATGCTATTTTCAAAACCTATATAATCACTGGAATGGATTTGAAGCAAATTATTTAATTAATAAGTAATATATTATTATTTTGATTGTTATTGGCCTAAAGCCTCGTAGCCAACGCCATTGTAAAGAAAATAAAACGTTATACTAAAACCTTTTTTGATATATCTCTCATAACTACGCAACACTGCTTGCAGTCTACAAACTGGCACAAAATTAAATTATTTGAATGATTAAAATTATTAAAATGATATTTTTATTTAAATCGCGTTTGATGCGTCGATTGCGCGGTCGAGCGGGAGACTACGAGGCGAATACGTAAGCACTGAACTGGTGAGTTCAGATTTACGACATCTGCCTCATGGTTTCCTGTTGCAGGCGTAAACAGAAACCATAAATTGGCATATGATATAGATTCACTGTAACAATGAAACGTTCACGAATGAAAACACGTAAGTGTGTTGCGCCGTGAAGTTGTAGGTAGTTGTATGATTTCAGAATTTCAGTACCTTTCACTAAATAATAATAAAAAAAATCACTTAAAAATTAACAACCACTGTGTGGAATACACAGTCACGGTTATTGTAATTGAAATTTGAAAATTAGGCTCTTAATGAAATTTAAAAATACAGATTGCATCATTTTCTAAAGGATTTCTTGATAAATGGGATATACTCGTACGCGGGTGAAACCGCGGGGCACAGCGAAGTGGTGGACATAAAGTGCGAAAAAAATTAATCATCCTAAAATGTCTTGTGCCTAATGTAGTGTGACCACGGCTATACGAAAACTAATATTTACAATTAATTACTAATATAAAATAGATAAATATATTGATTGAGGACAATGATGTGCGGAAAACTACGGCAGGGGCACGACGCTTCTAACGATAGCTCATTTGTCAAGATACTACTAGCAATTTTGGAGATCTGCGAGAACACATGAATTTTTATACATAGATACATAGCTTGTTTAAATCATAACTGCTTTTCGCCTTGAAGGAGTCGGGTGATAAAAGAGGACCAGATTT